ATCCTGGACCCTGAGGTCCTGGATCCTGAGGTCCTGGACCCTGAGGTCCTGGATCCTGAGGTCCTGGATCCTGAGGTCCTGGATCCTGAGGTCCTGGATCCTGGACCCTGAGGTCCTGGATCCTGAGGTCCTGGACCCTGAGGTCCTGGATCCTGAGGCCCTGGATCCTGGATCCTGAGGTCCTGGATCCTGAGGTCCTGGATCCTGAGGCCCTGGATCCTGGATCCTGAGGTCCTGGATCCTGAGGCCCTGGATCCTGGATCCTGAGGTCCTGGACCCTGAGGTCCTGGATCCTGAGGTCCTGGACCCTGAGGTCCTGGACCCTGAGGTCCTGGACCCTGAGGTCCTGGACCCTGAGGTGGACGGTCACAGAACATGACCAGGTAAACAACACAGGAGCATCTTTAACATTAAAGCTTTAATTCATCTGAACTCAAACACCAACAGTTGGCTCCTTGGATCAACATCTTTAAAAGTTAAAAACTAAATTAAATATGAACAAAAGGATCTTAAATGTGTTTTGGTTTGTTGTAAAATKATCAGCTCCTGCAGCTAAACTGAAGCCATAAAAATCTGAGGGATAAACTTCTGATAACTCCATCATCTAATGAAACTGTATAAAATGTGAAAATAATCAGTTTGAACACTTCTGCTGCTKTAAACCAAGGCCTGATGGTTGTTTCTGTAAAACATTAGGAGTCATGTCTGCAGATTGTAGCACCAAGAACTGTAACAGGAAGTACAGTTAGAAGAGGCAGACGATTAAATGTCACTTTGTGATTAAATGTTTTTAAGTTTTTACTCCTCATTTATCAGTATTTACATTTTATACGTGAAGAAATACTCATGGTTTCTTGTAAAGAAATGTTAAAATTCTTCCAGTTCATAAACTGTCCAACAGTTCATGCTAACAGCTAACACTCCTGTCACACTTTTCCTCCTCTGACTTTTGTTTCTTTGGTTCAGTCCAGAAAACCTCTGGTCTGCTAACAGCTGACGTTCAGCACGCCGCCACACGTTTACTGGTCACAGCACAAAAACTGAAGCATGAACTGTGAAACGTCACAGACACCATGCTAACACGCAGCATACATCACGCTAACACCATCATGTTTGCCATGCTAACACAATGCTAGCATTATAGCATACATCAGGCTAACATCATAGCATAAACCATGCTAATACCATGGCATACACTGTGCTAACATTGTAGCATAAGCCCTGCTAACACCTTAGCATGCATTAGGCTAACATCAAAGAACACACCATGATGGACACAGCACATGCTGAATCTGTAGCATACACTGTGCTAACATTGTAGCATAAGCTATACCAACACTATGGCTGTGTCCAAAACGACAGGCCGGGTCCTCCGGAGGACCCAGACTACCCGATCGAGGTGGGCC